AATAATGCCGCACCACACATTAAACCCGAAACGAACTTGCAACCTTCGCTGAGCTCTCAATTTTGCATTTTCTGTTGACCAGAAGTGGAAATTGTGAATTGTGACGATTAAATACTCCACAATTACTAAGTAAATCTAGTCTTATCGGAACATACAACATAATTTGGAAAAGTTGGATCTGCATTACGTTCAATAATGTACCAGTTACAAAACTCGAGCCGCCATCCTCCTTAGATAGCTATCTCCTCGAACTCCTCGAAGGCTAGATATTAGATATTTATGTTGCTTCAAAACTCTATGAATAGTTGACTTAGGTATGTGAAGTTTTCTACCAGCTTCTCGGGTCGAAGATGAAGGATTTTCATTAAAATTTTGTTCAATAGCAGCATCACGCCTGAAGCGCAGTTCGATATGGTTTGGTTTCAACAAGACGGTTATCCTGCCCATAATACCCAAGAAATTCAGGAATTTTTGCATGATACATTTACATTTAGAGAGAGAATTGCTAATTGCGGTCCAGTTCCTTGGCCAGCTTGGTCTCCTGACGTCACTCCTTTGGAATTTTATTTTTTTCATTTGTATTTATTAATTAATTTACTTCCTTATACTAAATGCTCTGTAATGCGACGTTGCCAAGTGGATCAAAACATAAAAACGTATTTTCTATGGCCAAAATTAATTATTTTGGTCGAGTGTATTATATCATTCATTTTGTATTTTTTCACTCTATTTCACGGTATGAAAATCCAATATGGCGGCTATAGGAAATGATGAAGTTGATGATGGTTCCAGAAAACCGAAACGTGCTAGAAAAAATCTAATCGCACATGCGCATTCTGCACAAAGAGTTGCTTTGGAAGTGTTTTTACAGATTTGAGAAATTTTCAAAAATAAAAGATTTACAGCTCATTTTCAAAAAACCAACTTTTCAGTTTTTTCCAAATATCTCAAAGATGTGAATAGCTAGAGTCAATCTGCAAACGATATTAAACGTCTAACATAATTGTCTAAAACTTTTCCCATTTAACCTCCCTCGTATCTGTTATAGTTTCCTATATCTTAATACATGCACCACCAATTTGGGACACACTGTATTTAATAATACGTCAGCTATAAGGCCTGTACCCCCATTTTCGTCGCTTCTCCTGGAAAGTTGATTAAACTCATGGAGCGAAATATTTTTTTATATGTTTAGGAACCTTCCAACTATAATCCACTATAATTTTATGACCAAAAAATCCAAGATAAGAGAGTTAAGATTTTTTCATTCTAAAAGTCACATTTAACAATATGCTAGTTATAAGGGCTTTGCCTCCAATTCCGACGTTTTTCCTGGAAAATGGTTAAACCTGATAGAACGGAATATTGTTTATATGTTTAGGAACCTTTTAACTCTAATCCACCCAAATTTTATGCTAAAAAAGTTCGAGATAAGAGAGTTAGAATTTTTTCAATCTGAAAGATACATTCACTAATACGTCAGCTATAAGGCCTGTACCTCCATTTTCGACATCTCTCCTGAAAAGTTGATCAAACTCATGGAACCGATTATTTCCTTATATGTTTAGGAACCTTTCAACTATACACCACCAAAATTTTATAACCGAAAAATCGAAGATAAGAGAGTTACGATTTTTTCAATCTGAAAGACACAATCATCAATATGTTAGTTATTAAGGCTTTGCATCCATTTGCAACGTTTTTCCTTGAAAATGGATGAACCTAATAGAACCTTTTTTTTATATGTTGAGGAACCTCTCAACTGTGATCCATCAACACTGTATGTCAAAAAAATCCAGAAAAGAGAGTTAGGATTTTTCCAATCTGAAATATATATTTAATAATACGTCAGCTATAAGGCCTGTACCTCCATTTCGACGTCCCTTCTGGAAAGTTGATTGAGCTCATAGAACCAAATATTTTTCAATATGTTTAGGAACCTTTCAACTATAATCCACCAAAATTTTTTAATCCAAACATTCAAGATAAGTGAATTAGGATTTTTTTAATCTGAAAAACTCATTTAATAATATGCAATAATATGTTGGTTCTAAGGGCTTTGCCTCCATTTCCAACGTTTCTCCTGGAAAATGGATGAACCTAATAGAAATGAATATATTTTTATATGTTCAGGAACCTCATCTCAACTCTAATCTACCAAAATTTTATGCTAAAACAATCCAAGATGAGAGAGTTAGGACTCTTTCAACCTGAAAGACACATTTAATAATACGTCAGCTATAAAGCCTTTACCTCCATTTTCGACGTCTCTCCTAGAAAGTTGATCAAACTCATGGAACCAGATATTTTCCTATATGTTTAGGAACCTTTCAGCTATACTCCACCATAAGTCTATAACCCAAATATCAAAGATAAGAGAGTTACAATTTTTTCAATCTAAAAGACACCTTTATTAATGTGTTAGTTATAAAGGCTTTTCCTCCATTTCCAACGTTTTTCCTGAAATATGGATGAACCTAATAGAACATTTTTTATGTATTAAGGAACCTCTGAACTGTAATCCACCAAAATTGTATGTCAGAAAAATCCAAGATAAAAGAGTTTGGATGTTTTCAATCTGAAAGATACATTTAATAATACGTCAGTTATAAGGCCTGTACCTCCATTTTCGACGACTCTCCTGGAAATGTGATCATACGCATGGAACCAAATATTTTTTTATATATTCAAGAAACTTTCAACTTTAATCCACCAAAATTTTATCACAAAAAAATCCAAGATAAGAGAGTTAGGATTTTTTCAATCTGAAAGATACATTTAATAATATCTCAGCTATAAGGCCTGTGCCTCCATTTTCGACGATTCTCCTGGAAACTGGTTGAACCTAATAGAACGGAATATTTTTTTATATGTCCAGGAGCCTCTCAACTCTAATTCACCCAAATTTAATGCTAAAAGAATCCTAGATGAGAGAGTTAGGATTTTCTCAATCTGAAAGATACTTTACTTTTAATAATACGTCAGCTATAAAGCCTGTACCTCCATTTTCGACGTCTCTGCTCGAAAATTGATCAAACTCATAGAGCCAAATATTTTTCTATATGTTTAGGAGCCTTCTAACTATAATACACCAAAATTTTATGACCAAGAAATCCAAGATAAGAGTTAGGAGTTTTTCAATCTGAAAGACACGTTCAAAAATATGTGGATGAACTTGATAGTACAGAATATTTTTTTTAATATTTAAGAATCTCTCTAACTCTAATCCACCCAAATCCACCCAAATTTTATGCTATAATAGTCCAAGATAAGAGAGTTAGAATTTTTTCAATCAGGAAGATACATTTAATAATACGGCAGTTATAAGGCCTGTACCTCCATTTTCGACGTCTCTCTTGGAAAGTTGGATAAATTCCTGACAAAGAGAGAGCAATCATTCTCTTGAGAACTCTGTTCCTCGGTTACGAAAAAAGACCAGAAAGAAAGACCCACAAGCCCACCACCAGAAAATTCTATTGTGTTGGACTGGACAGCAATTTTGGAAAATATCGCAGAAGACTTCTGAATACAAGAAGGTGCGTCGGATCAGAAACCTAGTACAATTGATAAACGAAGCGAGCGGGACAGCTATACTAAGCGAAAGATTTAAGACAAGGAGAGGTTATGTCACAGTGATAATTCTGAGCAGTTGCAACTGGCTGTTGAACCTTGCATTCTCGAAGCGGATCAGGCGAATACTGGTGTAACCAGGCAAATGCCAAGATGGTCAAACGTAGAACTCTGAACGAGTTAAAACCTTGATTTGATCAGCGCAAAATGAAGATTTAGGGAAGAAGACTAAACCAGAGCAGCTGGTGGCAATAGGATAGCATATACCAAGCCCTTGAAGAAGTCGCAGACACAATACATGGGATCAGAAGATCCAGAAACTCAGCATTATCTATTACCCTGCTTGTTAGATTCAGAAGTACGTATCCAAGGATTCACTGGGATTGTATGCTCTGATAAAAACCAACCTGTACCTTTCGTAGATACTATTTTTCGTAACATAATTTTTCCAAAGGTAACGTTCGATTATGTTGAGTAATTTAAAGATTACTCAATGACATTTGGATTACCCAACATAATCGAAAATAATCTTTGGAAAATTTAGGTCGCGAAAAATTGCCTCTTAGAGCAATGAACACCCACATGAAGTGGTAACGGAACGTGCTAATAGGAATTACGCCAGTCCTTTGAAAAAAAAAAAAATCAGATGCCTGGAAGCGAAAAAAGAAAAGGATGATCAAGGAAAGGAAATGGCTAAGAAAGTTGCAATGGCCTTGATTAACATCATTAACCCAATTCCGAAATAGGATCTCTTCCCAGAATGCGGAAAGCTTGTTTAGGATGGAAATATTCTTTCAGAGCATCAGTCTCTTGTAGCTTCTCAGTAAGAAAATGAAGGAAGCTTTCTGATACAAGCTAATGGAGGAACCTGAAAAGAAGTCACTATACTGGGCAGTCAGAATACTAGAGCACATCACTAGCACATTCATTTGGAAAAAATCTGTAGAACTCAGCCACAATGGCAGTCAAAACTTTAGAACATAACCTGACTCAGGAACCACAGCCTGGAGAATCAATTGGACGTTTTTTACTAGGACAACTGATTACCCCGCCCATTGAAGAGAAATAGGGAAAGCTGGAGCCGCCAAAAAAAAACAAATATGAAAATGTTCACATAAACTTTTAGTTTCAAATGAGCTCAGGAATATCATCCACTAAAAATGTTCAGATAGTTTCGGTACATTACTATGTAACACACAAAGCAAGAATAAGGGGTACCTACCTAAATCCTAGTATAAGTGTAGATTATTAGGGCTTTGCAGTAAAGGTCCAAGGTTTGACAAAACTTCCAAAGCTTCCACCTTTCATCTCTTAAGTAGTAGCTTAAACTGGATCTTATCCTAACCACAAACGATTTGGTTGGTGATGTGAGCCTTCAACCTTGAAAACTCCCTATAATTCCAAAAACAAAAACAGAAACTAAAAAATTTTTAGAAATAATATATTTCTTCTCAGGTAAAAAAGAATACAGAGACTATTAACAGATCGAACCTATAATATAATAAATATTTCTAAATCTAGATTTTTTCACGTGATTGATTACAAACAATAATATGAAAAAATTAAAACAAAAAAGCCAAAAAACTCATGCAAACTCACAATAATATTTAAAAAATCACAACACATTCATGCCGCAGTAGTATTATTCTCAGCATTATCCTTTTTAACGCCTTTGAGTTCCATCTGAATATCTTCCAGGGTTTTGCCTTTGGTTTCCGGCACCAATGCCACAATAAATATCAATCCCAAACCACAGCAACCGGCGAATGCGAAAAATGGCACAGAAATTCCGAAGTCGTCTTGCATTATTTGGAAGAATTTTGAAACTAGAGTGACTATGATGCCAAACCAGATATCAGCCAGGCAAAGGGCGAAAGCTTTTACGCCCGTTGGGAACATTTCTCCTAGGAAAAGGACTGGGATTACTCCCATGCCTAGATTGAAAATCACCACGTAGCCCAACAAGGCCACTAAAGGTACCACTTTAAGACTAGATACATCAAGGGTAGTATTGTTGCTTAGGAAAAAGTAAGTACCTTCTAATGAGAGTGCTACACCAGACCCAATAATAGAAATAATAAGTAAAGGTTTACGTCCAACTTTATCCACCAAAAAGCTGGATGCCAAAGCACATACTAGTTGCAAAGTGAAATAAATCAAGGTGGCTGTAGTTGGTGACATGTCTCCACTGGCTTCATGGAAAATACTTTGGGCGTAAAAAGTGATAATTGTGGTGCCGCTGAACTGTTGAATCGCTCTTAATCCAAAAACAATTATTGTAGCTTTCCTGTTGCTGGAAATAGTAAAAAGATCCGAAATTTTCCCTGTTTGTTCTCTCTCATCTTTCACAGCATCAAAAACACGGCCTAGTTCATTAGAAACATCTTTGGTTTGACGTAGAAACTGCAGACTTTTTGTAGCCTCATCAATTTTCCCTTTCATAACCAAATAATAGGGACTATCGGGCATAAACCAAAAAGTCGCAAAGAATATCGGCGGTAACGCTGCCGATATCAGAGCAGTATCCATGATACTCATATAAGATCCAATAATGTTGATTATCAACATTCCAGTAATCATGGATAATTGTATGCTGGACCCTAACAGTCCTCTGATGTCATACGAGGCAATTTCCCCTAAATACATCGGAAACGCTGTGAAAACTAGCCCGTCAGCCCATCCCGAAATAAATCTGGCAGCGTAGAGCTCCCAAATTGTTCCAGCGAAAGCCACCATGAGCCATGCTAGAAGGTAGGCAGGAGCTGTCATCAGCATGCACGTCTTACGGCCGATTTTGTCGACCATGTAAGCTGTCAATAGGGATCCGGAAGCTGCTCCGATACAAGGCATTGAGGCTAGCCACGATCCGTCTTGAGTTGTTACGGAAATTGTGGAGTTTTTGCTCAGGAGTAAGGGTAGAGAGGGTGACGGCCAGCCAAAGTGCATCGCTCCTGATATTACACCAAGACATCCTAGAATAGAAAAGAGTTTCATATTAATTGGAGGAATAATAATTCGTGGTATCAATTTGAAAGTTTGGTTGGATATAGTCTTGAATTGTGGATTTAATTATGAAGAGAATTCCAAAATATAAAGAATATAAAAAGATAAAAGTATCAAGTATAAGGGATAAAGTTAAACACATTTATACAGGCCAGAGAGACAATAGGGGTGATGGGTGCGAGCTCAGACAAGAATTGTCAATAGTTATACTAACTGTGTTTCTCAGATGTCTATTTGATGATGTTTCTGTTGACTCACTATATATGCTCTGATTATGAGATTCTTACAACCCTAGAACATCAACATCTTTTGTCTATACCCGAATATTGAATGTTTGTCCCCTGAACTACTTTAAATACATAGATACAATTTAAGAGCCTGAGATGAGAAAATAGGGACAGTCTAAGAGCACAGAAGGTAAGAAATATATTGCCATGGTGGCGTCTTCGTCAAACAGTACAGAATCTGATTTGAAATCTAGAGAATACGGGCAAAGGGATTATCGCGGTTATTCTGGATTTTACAAGAATGAATTACAGATACCTATGTAAAGACCGGTATTAGTAAGTAGTTTTTAGTTTGAGATTGACTGTGGTACGATTTAGATAGTGAACTTTGTAAGAGTTGTAAAGAGTAAAGTTGTCTGAGTTGATTAGTAAAGTAGGTACCTAATTTCATTGGTTGAAACTAGTTTTCTGACTGTTTCTGACTGTTTTCAACCAATTAAATTTACTCTAACTGGTTTGTGATTCCTGCAGAAACAGTCCTAATGCTAATGTTGTGTTAATTGGACATTGATTTTGAAATAAAAGAACCCAAGATTATTGTCACGCACTCCCCAGAGCCGTGACATTGGTGTCAGAAGTGAGGTATAAATCAAGGACTGCAAAGTGAAATCCGATTTCTGAGTAGTGTGGACATTATTTCAAACACTAAGTGAACACTGGAACAATATGAATAGTGAATTTTCAAGTAAGTTTCAAGTAAGTTCTAGGAAATTCTATTCGGAAACCAAGGGTGTTTTCTATATCAATCAACATCCAGAAAATACATTTCAAGAAAATTCTAGAACATTCCATTCGAGAATAAAGCAAGTTATCCAATTTGTGCGACTTCACCGATATGTTTGAAACTTCAAGCAAAGACCAGGAAAGAGATTTGAAGAAAGTTTGAGGAAATTTCTAGAACATTCTGTATATGCCTATCACGAGACAACAAGCAAAAATGAAAGAACAAAAAATTGAAGAAATTCTGCGCAAAATGTTGGAACTTCAAGAGACCAAACAACAACAAGAAAAACAAGACGAACAGGCTAGGCGACAAAAAGAAAAACAAGAAGAAGAAGCTAAACGACAAGAAGAAAAACAAGAAGAAGAAGCTAGACGACAATGAGAAGAGGCTAGGCAACAACATGAACGGCAAGAGGACATTGGACAACTGCAGAAAATATTTTAAACCATACAAGGATCTGTCGCTTACCTGGAACAAAAGATTAAGGAAGTTGAAGCCGAAGTTAAAGATGTTCAAGAAGTTAAAGCCGATGGTCAATAAAGAAAATGTTCGAGAAGTTAAAGACGATGTTCAGCAATTGGAACAAGAAGTTGAAGACCAAGTTCAAGCACTTGAAGAAGAGGTGAATAAATTAGAAATACAGTCCATCAATCCAGGTTGTGTTGGAGCATTTTCTAGTATGAAGATACAATGCAGACGTATTTGTGATGAATAATCAAACCGGACAAAACAGCTTAATCCAACACAAAATTGATACTGGATTGGCACATCCAATTAGACAACTACCATGACGTGTGCCAGTAGCTAAACAACAGGAAGTGGAAAACCAAATTGATAAAATGCGGGAATTATTGAAGAGTCAAATAGTCCATGGTTTGTGCCAGTAGTATTGGTTAAAAGAAAGATGGAAGTCTTAGATTTTGTGTAGACTACCGTAAGCTCAATGACGTCACCAAGAATGACAGCTTCCCTCTTCCGAGGATAGACGATACATTACAAAGAGAAAACTGCCTTCAGTATCGGAAGCGGGTTATACCAGTTTAACGTAATGCCTTTCGGATTGTGTAAGGCTCCCGTTACGTTTGAGCGACTGATGCGTTTAGTTTTGCGAGGCCTTACATGGAGAACTTATCTGGTATATTTGGATGATGTCATGATCATGGGAAATTTGTTCCAATACCAAACAGTATACAGAAACTTGAAATTCAGAAAATACTGCTTTATTCGGGCGAGGAGATTATCGCGTTTATTCTGGACTTTACAAGAATGGATTACAGATATAAAAAATCCGGTATTAGTTGGTAGTTTTTAGTTCAAGATTGACTGTGAAACGATTTAGATACTGAACTTTGTTATTATACTTGTAAAGAGTTAAGTTGTTTGAGTTAGTGAAGTGATTAGTGTCAAAGTGTGTAGTAACGTGGGATAGATTATTGTTGGTTCACTGGACTTTGATTATGGAATAAACGAACTCAAGATTATTGTCACGCATCCTAGAGCCGTGATAATATTTACTTAGGTACCAGGCTCTTGAATTTCTATTTTGTTTTCCAAAAGAATAATTTAACAAAGTTCAAGATCCGGGAATAAAAACCTGCCGAAAATTGAAAGTCTGTATCTACCTAATGGAGAAAAAGTATTTCATTTTTGCGAAGTGTTTCCTGAATCTCGTCTCTCCATTTCTCAATTTTTCCGTATGCTTCTTTTGTCTATTCCCAGCTTTTGAAATGTTGTCTCCTAAATTTCTTTAAATACATAGATATTCAATTCAAGAGCCTGAGATAAGAAAATTAAGCAGCTCAAAAGGACAGAAGGGGACTTAGGGAGGTACCTTTATGTCTAAGTACCAGTTTTATTTTAAACCTTTCTCTATTTCCTTACTTTTTTAGTTCCAATTATTGTATCTATTCCAGGATCTTGAATGCTTGTTCTCTTTTATTTGAACTTTTTGAGAAGTTACTCTAAATAAAAAAATTAAAAAAATAAAAAAAATGCTTATGATAGCAATTTGGCCCCTAAATCAAATGAATGTAGTCTTTTTGAAAAATTGTTGACCAAAACTTTACATTTTATACCCCTTGAAAACAATATTCATCAATTCCAAGCTCACCTTACTATTCCTAATCAGTTTTCGACTGATTCCTTTATGTAACAGATTCACTGTTACTTTTGCAAATTGTTGAATGTTACACGTTATAGGTCGTCTTATTTTATTTAAAATTCATCAACGCCGTTTCGAGCTTTCTTTTTTTTTTTTCATTTACCGACTCGAATCCTAAAAGAACGAGTCTAATCTAATATTAAAATTCAGGGAGTACTGTTAGATTTCGAAAAATACACTTTACGTAATTTTTACAGGTTAAATTATATAGTGGGCAAAATATACTTATATATTGTTTTGTGTCTGAAAGGCAGTAATCAATAGCATTCTGAGATATAGGCAATTTAATATAAACATAATTGATAGAAATACCAAACCCATTAATTTATTAATTAAATTTGACGTAAAATAATTAATGAAGAACTAAAACCTGTATAGTTTGTGGTATAAGATAACCACAAACATAATAAATCTCCTTATGGGCAAGATTTGTTGTCTGATAATTATTTCTCGCACACCATGTACATTAATTAGCATCAAAATTGGCAAAATTTCTATTTGGACATTGAAATCTTCCATAAATACATATTAATTAAAACAAAACCGGGTATAGGTAAAGGCGATTTAGTCATAATCGACAAAATAAAACAATATATTTCCTCGAAGGTCGCTATTAAATAATCGTTAACGATAACATTAATAACATTATTCATTTTTCCTATCGCACATTGTTGTTTATATCTGAATCAGGTCGATTTACTTATCAAACCCTGTTTTGAAACAATGAATGAGTCCTCTGTACTAATTAAATCGCAGATTTTTATTGGTTTTACCCATGGCATAACTACCTACCTACACATTCATCGATTTTTTATGACATGTTTGACGTTTTCGATTAAGCATTAACGTATTTACACTTTATTTTTTCTCAAGATAGATTTTGACATTGAAAACTTTGAAACATAAACAATAACGCTTGAACCTGATTGGTCGCAAAATGAGGTGTTTCTGCAGGTTGACATCAGTTTTAAAATAGCGACCAATAAGCGGCATTAGCGGCATTGTTTATGTTTCAAAGTTGACAATGCCAAAATCTATCTTGGGAAAAAATAAACTATATATTACTTATAAAAATTGAGTCCATGTAGAATATAGGTAGGAAGGTACCACATGCAAAATAATACAGTTTGTTCAAAGTCAAATTATTTCAAATTTTTGGGAGGTAATTTAATTTTAATGCAAGAAAAAGAGTTATCGAATGCAACATGATGAATATAAAAAAACTCCAAAAGATGGTATACAAAATAACTTAAATGAAACATTCGAAGAAGTCGTTTATGGTTCTCCGGGAAGAGTTGAATATGATGAGATGGAAAGTTAAAGTCAAAGGCTCAGATATCTTTTAAAATAAGTTCAATATGTCCTTTAGGCCGGAGCAAATTTTAAAAACCACGATTTTTAGCAAAAAGAAAGTATATAAATGCTCAGAACAACCTTGAAAAATACACAAAGATGGGGGAAGAGATGGATAGGGAGCTCCTAAGAACCCACTTTCCCGGCTCAAAGATAGTTGGACATGGAATGAGTCTAGACTTCGAAGAGCATCCAGGAACGACTGGCTGACCTCGAAGAGGGTAATCATGAAAAAGTCAAATGGGCTATAAACACCTTCGATCCATATAAGTCACCAGGGATAGATGAGATCTATTCCATAATGTTACAGAACGGAACTGAACTTGCAAACAGAATACTATCTAACATTCTAAGAAGTAGCCTAGCCTTTGGCTATATACCAAAGGCCTGGAGGCGAATTAGGGTATCGTTCATACTAAAACCTGGAAAAATAGGACAGGACAC